ACGTTGTGAATTGCGCTGAGCTCCGTGGAGATGTGGTTTCCTTGTTTAGCGACAGCGAAACACAGCCAAACTCACCCTGAGCTAGACCCTCCAGAAAAACGCGGGCAAAAATCCTTGATTATGCGATTAAACATGCGGGGTTTTTATGTGATTTTATGCGGTGAAGTTGCGAAATATGCGGAAAGTTGCGAAATATGCAAAATATGCGGGAAAAAATAATAAATGTTTTTTAAAATATTGGGCTGTCTTATTTATTCTCTCTGACACACAACCTGCCACTAACGTTAAACCCCTTTACTATTCAATTAAACACATTCAATGTTTATTTATTGTAAAAGCAATTGGGCTATTTTAATCTCACACACACACTTCTCCGCCTCATTCTGTTTTCATTGACTCCTTCGTTACCTGACAGCTCCATCTTGTAGGCTACTCACTTCGTTTCTTGTAGCCCTCGAAAGGGTTTTGGAGGTTGATGCCTCGGTGAACGTGCGTTGTTTGGCTTTCTTGTCCGCAGCAGCAGAAAGCATTTTCGAATGTTTGAATGAATCAAAGTGGGTCGTCACCCTCGATTTTCTCTTATGCTCCAACACACAGTTGCACGGGGTGCAGAATAGTTTCCCCCCACTTTTTGCCCGGTCTTTAGTAGAAATGTTCGTCGGTAAATGAGATGGATTAGATTTTTTCATCTTGGTGTTTTCTCTATCGTGTGAGCTCCACACGTTCACTCTATACAGTGTTGTTTACATTCTATGATGCGCGAGCTGATGACGTCACGTCAAGACGAGTTAACTTTTTTTCTTTCTCAACTTTGTGTGGAAAAATGCAGGGATTATGCGGCCTTTTGATAAATATGCGGCCTTTTAAAAATCTGCGCCATTTTGCTGATTATGCGGTAAATTCTGCGATCGCAGAATCGCGTTTTTCTGGAGGGTCTAACAATCTAAGCGAGGGCCGTGGCAGGGACTCCGACAGCCTTGTTGCACTTCTAACCTTGTAGCCTTATGTCACAGCTACAAGGTCGCTCGTCAATAGTGACAAGCGTGACTCCCTGCGACGGACCAAAACAATAGGCCATCAATAAGAGATGGAGAGACTCAAGTTGACAGCAGCAGAAGTGCAGAGTGGTGACAGCAGTAGTGAGGGGGTTCTCACAACAACAATATCGTCTTTATGTTACGTGAATGCACGCTACGGCAGGCTTTTTTTTCCATGCAGACTGCTCATCCTCGGGCAGTCACATGCCTGTGTTTTAAGTGGACGGGAAGGCGTGAAGCAGGGTGTCTTATTGTGTGATATGCTCAGGCAGTTAAATGATCACCAGTGACTAGCTGAACACTGGCTGAGGTTTGTTTGTATACGCACAGTTTATTGCAATGGGAAATGTTTTATATTTACACATCAACCACCCAATGTTGAACCATAAATATGTATAGATGTATTTAAAGTCTACCCTTCATTTAAACTACTTCGTCATTTAGAAACTGTAATGATCCTCAGAAGTTAATTACATTTGCAATAAAAAGCAAAGGTCAAGACAAATAAAATCCAATATCTTTTTATGGTAGTGCATTTGAACATATCATCACCTTGACACTATATTATGTTGTTTTCAACTCTTTTGCAGAATATTTTATGAGTGAATCACAATCCTATTTTATATGGTGTAGGTCAAATGTATTTCAGATCCACCACTGTTCTTGCTATTTTTCTATCTTTAATAATGCATGTTCTATTTTCACACTGTGGTTCATATTCATGCGTCTTCAACTCTGTGGGCTTTATCCCATACCTTTATCTGTGATTTGGCTTTGTTGAGCAGGCCCAGGGTTGTGTGCCGGTTGCAGTCGGGTCCCAGGGGTATGAGGGCCTTCAACCGCTCGAGACAGAGCCGCAGGTGAGCTCGTCTGGAAAAAAACAAAAACAGAAAGCGAAATGGAATGATTAGATACATGACCACGTACAGTAGGGAAGCGCTAAGGTCTGGGCAGTAAAATGGGAAATAGTAGATAAATGTGTTGCTAAATAGCACCTGGGGATTGAGATATGGAAAGTAGTCACTAAGACACTATTTCAGCAGCTTCCCTGTCTTAATCTGTGCATTTCTCATTCACGGATAACCGGGTAAAGAAAGATGTCAAGCTATCCACAGGACTTTACATCCAACCCTTATAAAAGCACTTAGTTCTGATCTCCTAAGGCTGGATTTTTCCCTTCTCAAAGATCTGCACATGAGCAATCTGTCACCTTGGGATGCAGGCTCATTAAGACATGTTGTACTCTCACTTTGTGAGAATCCACCAGCTGCACACCGGCTCATGTATTGTAAATCCCCAGCTTATAGTTCAGCAAGGCAGCGGGTTACATATGATTCACGTCTCGTGTAAGCCTAGAGACGATACATTATCCTTTGCAGGTATTTCTTGCACCCGGCTTTAGTTTCCCTTCTCGCCTGCATTACAAACAACAAGTTTAAGCTGTGTGTGTGTGTGGGGGGGGGGAAAGGTGTAATGGCATTTCCTGGACCCTGCTCGGCTCGGACGTTCCATCATCTTGACAGTCCCTTATCCCTTGACTGCAGACAGGCCGGGGGTACTATCTATCCTGCTAATGGCTCCGAGTTGAGAGGTAAAGAGTGATAATTGTAGCTCTAACACAATCAGTACTCCATTAGCAGGGGCTGCCCTTTCAGCTAGCCTGAAGGGAAAAGTGGAGAGACATTGAGAGCCGGTGGACTCAGTGGAGCCACCCAGGGCTTCAGGAACAATCTCTGGGGGAGCCCAAAGGGGACCAGGGCAGGAATTCACTGCACTGATTAGGCTGGCCCAGACTGCTCTCTGCTGCTGTCAGACTGGTGGAGACATGTGAGCACTGGTGTGTGTGCACGTCAGTGTGTGTATGTGTGAGAGAAAGGGAGGTTCTGCTTTGCATGGATGGTGCTGATAAGAACCCAAGAGAAGAGCGAGCCATTGCTTAAATACAGTATGCCTGAGTGTGTGCTTAAACTACGTGACAAAGACAAGCGCTGCATGTCTAGGGAATGAAAGAGGAGGCACCCTTATTTAGTCTTAGGTGCAAAAAGTTTGGAAGTCATAACACACATGTACACTAGAGCTGCTGAGATGAATGGATTAGTTGTCGGCTGTCAAAGTTATCACTTGATTTATCCTTTTGAAAGAATAAAAGTACTACAATTTCGAATTCCAGCTTCTTAAATTTGGATATTTCCTTGGTCCTTACTCCGATATGACAGAAAACCAAATGTCTTTGAGTTGAGGACAGAACAAGACATTTGAAGATGTAATATTTGGCTTTGGGATACACTAATAGATTGATAGATACGATGTTGGTAAATGGTGAAAAATCTTGATTGTTCTATCAATAACATGTCAGAAAATGCTGAAAAATGTCAATACAACTTACAGGAAAATTCTTAACAGAATAGTTGATAAAACAAATCATCATTAGTTGCAGCCCTAGCGTACGTTTTTCAGCCCAGACTTGGGAATGATGATCGGCCCGGTTCAGGTCATCTGTCTGTGTAATCAGTCCTATTAGAAGGAGAGAGCAAAGTCCACCTTCTTTATCTGTGAAATGTCTATCTACGCTCGTCTCATCTGAACCCCGACATACACACACGCCCGTGCACATAGACACAGATATCAGCCAGCAATTAATCACTTTCTACTCCTCTACAGCAGCCTGGGGGGGAACACACAGCTCCAACGGAAACACATCTAGGACACTCTACAGAGAGGACATGGTAAAAGATCTGTCTCAGAAATACTAATTATCTTTTGAACACTGTAATTACGATTAATACTCGATTATGTGGAAACAAGGCATTTTACTGCAACGTTTGCTATGTAACCATTTTCAAATTAAGTAGGCCATGTACAGGGAACGTTTGCTGATAGGCCGATCAATTATTTATTATGCAGCTGCAGCTGACACAAATATAAATCCGCGTTACAGGCAAGAATAAACACACACTTGGTCTTGAACATCCCTTGTTATCTCAAAAACTGTGTACCACCACTACATGCATGTGTACACTGTAGGGACATGTTGTACGTTCTTACTTTTTCATTAGTTATACAAACATTTTTGTTCCACACACAGGGGCGCGGAGTGCCTGATAAAGAAGGGCAGAGCAGGACACCCGGTCATTTATGGGCCTGTCTGTCTATCTGGCCTATCAGGCGTCGGGTTAACAAACGCCAGACACCGGAGATCTTCTCCTCCACTCCAATCCAGATTAAAAACAACTATCTTAGCACACAAATTTAGATAACCTCCACTTACAGGCATTCCTGTCCTTATCCAACCCCCCCACCACCCTCCCTCCTCGCTCCCTCCCTCTCCTCTCCCTGACCCAACTGACATGACAAATGTACAGAGGAAGCAGGGGGGGTACGCTGACCGCACTGGCACCGCAGTATCAACACATATCCGGCCCTGCTATGACCCGCTGAAATATGCCAATTATGGTTCTCAGCGCTAAGACTTCTATTGCTGAGTGCAGTGTAGGGCGTCACTTTGCAGGGTGCTGAATCAACACTTTTTGCCGAGTCAGTGTTAACCTCAAACACCCTAACACACCCATATGCCCGTGATGATGCGGAGGAGTCTCTCTCAGCACACCGAGTCCTGTTTATGTCCTTTTTCAAAGCTACCTCATGTGCCGTGTGATGTGTTCTTGCAGAAACACATGCTCCTGGGTTGGCAGCATTCAAACGCCCTCTCTCTGTGTCTCGTATTGACAGACTGACATGTGAGACGTCTGCCTGACATTTTGGACTAATCTCTGGGCGCATGACATGCTCTGCAGTGGAGCACTCTGATAACTACAGGAGGTCAAAGAAGCCCTGAAAAGCATAAGAGGGAGTGGTGGAGGAACAGTGTTTAACTGTGAGAGAAGCAGGAGAGAGAGAGAGAGTGTACTTATGTGTAATTCATGACCATCACATTGGGCTGCCTGCTAATGGGAAGTATAACAACTGGAGTCCTTTTCTTCCGCCTGCAGAAACCATTATGCCCTCAGAGCGTCGGGAAACTAAAGATAATGGCAGAGACTGCTTTATCATGTTAGTCTGTCCCAGCAGCGCTATCTCTAACTGTCTCACTAAGGGGTTAAAGGTCATTAGTTAGTAGCTACTGGTGATGGCCCCAGGACAGGTCACTAATCCCTGAAACGGTTGTTTACCATTTTGACCCACAGCAGAAGAGCTTAAGCCGTTTGCGTCTTACAATATGAGTGGTGGCTTGTGGCAATAAATGCCAGCGTGCAGCCGCCAGAATCTCTACTCGTAGCCACGTTACGCAGCAACGAGCCTACTGTTTCCCTGGGTGCTTAGAAAAGACCTATGTTGGTTATATAAACAGCAATGGATTTACTATGCTGCCCTATAACTTCCTGTCCTCAGCTGCTAAAGCTAACGAGCAGGAGAGCACACTTTGTTTAAAGGGTGTGACATCACACAGGGCCGTGTCAGTAGGTTGATGTTAATGTGGCTTTCAGATAGGGGTTAAACTTCTTACCTCAGAGAAGTGTCAAAGGCAGATATAATGGCAATAGCAGCTGGTATATATTATTGGGCAATGAATAGCCCAGTTATAAAAGTATTTAAAATAAAAATCACAAATGAAATTAGGGGTGTAGCTTGCAATAATGTTGACTCATTACGGATAGTGAAGGCTATTGCGCTGCGCTTTGTATTTCCAGTGTCCTAATGAATGGCACAGTGAGCTGCATGTTGCCTGAATGGGGAACTCTTCATCTGTGGAGGATTACATAACACGTGTCCAGTTGCTACCAGGAGCTGTACGGCAAACTGTCACGCACAGCAAGGATATGAAATCCCTCCCTGACAGCACGACAACAATGGCAGAAAAGACTTGCTTTTCCTCGTATTCAGCGGTGCCCATGGGATGGAGCCTTTAATAGCATGTTTCATTCTGGTTTTGTTTTGTGTTGCCTTGCGGCGTCACCTGAGCAAACAGCTGCTTCAGAAATCCCACACTCTCTGTTATTTTGAGGCGGTGTGGACTCCTTCATACAGATCCATTTACAATGTGACTGGCTTTTCAAAGGGGACAACAAAGTTACATAGAATCATAGCGTGAATGTGTGCCTCTTTTATCAAAAAGTATATAATAGAGCTGTAGACGGGAGATTTAGTTTTCATTTTTTAATGGAAGATGGTCAGTTTTTCATACTTTTACCACACAATGAAGCCTCAATTCATGGCGGCTTGGTTCAGAAATGACCACAAATCTAGGGCTTCACAATTCTTTTATCATTCTTTATTCAAAGATGCAAATTTGCAATGCAAAATGTATGATTCCCGTTGATATTTCAAATCATATTGCATTACATTTATTTTAGAGGAAAAGGCAACTCAACTGTTGTATTGGAAATATTTTTAAATCATTCATAAATTCCTGCAAGAACACATTAAGGCGAAACATGTCTTAACAAGTATGCAAAATACCAGTTCATTTATCACCCGACATAACCATCAAATTAGGAGAATCAAAATCTAAAAGCGCAACCTGCAGACACAGCCGGCCTTCCCTTTCCTCCTGGGACAATGGGGCGCTTCCACTCTACCAGTGTGTGTGTGTGTGTGTGTGTGTGTGTGTCATTCATGCTTGTGTGTGTGTATCATTCATGCTTGTGTGTGTGTTCCATGGCTTGTGTTCCTGATGGGCCCCAGATGGGTTCGCAGGCAGGAGGCTCTGCCTTTTGGCTTTGACATGTGAGCGAGCAGCCAGCCGGCCCCGGGTCACTGCACCACACCCCTCCTCCTCCTCCTCCTCCTCCTCCTCCCATCCTGACTCCCTGTGAATCACATGCACGACTTTCCTCTTCCTCCCAAATCCCACTGCTTTGTACGGTTAAGTA